GGGTTGGTGGTTCGCGTAGAGATGGAATATGATTTACGACAGACTCCCACTGCTATGCCTTGGTAGTGTGGCCAGAACGCAATCTGTGTGGAGTTACACCCATATTTTAAACAGAGGGTCCTTTGACTATAACATTTGACAGTTTACCAGCATTGATTCTAGCAAGCCTGACCCTGCTGATGAGACACTGCGTGTCAATGCACGTCCAGAGTCTGCTTGTACTTAATCACTGCTGATGGAGTTATCCACTCACAAAAGGCCATTGGGCCGCCTCCTACTGGACATGTGAAAAAGAGCTTCATAGCTCATCGGATTGCTCCAGTCTAAGTCAATATTCGTATCATGAAATACTTTTATTTATTTGTGAAGTGGAGAGGACAGATATGTGCGGGGGACATGTCTGCCTATCGCAGGGGGTCGACAACCAAAAATATACAAAGAGTATAAAAAGAAAAGACTTATTTTTTCGAATCAGTAAACGAAAAAAAAACCCTCAATATTTCAAGAGAGTCGCAATGCGTGTGAAGGTCACGGAGCAGTCCTTCAATGCGGCTCCGTTACCGCCCTGCCTCCATCGTGTGCTTTGGTTATCTTCGGGATATTTCGTTTCATCCCACACAAAATAAAATCATGTGGTCCATGATTTGGTATGTGGCGCGCAGGAAAAGAGAGAGAGGTGTGAGTCTTCATTCCCCACTTACGCTTCGTGCATCCTGCGTCTTTCGTGGGGTTTTTGTGCGGATCTGATTAAACGCTGTCCAATGTTTCCGTGTAAGATCGAAGCTGGTGGCGCCTGGCCTCCGTGATCACCATCTGAACCGAGTCGTGTCCCAATTTGCGGTGGCGGCGCTTAGCGTCGAGCTGCGCTCATTCCCCTCGAGCCCCGTTTCTACTCGTGCCCGATGCTTCACATTCACAGTCTTTATTGAGGCTGGATGAATCTGATGAGCTGTAAAGCTCTTCTTCACAAATGTCCAGTATGGACAGGCCCATAAACTCATTGCGCCCCCAAATCTACCCGTAAAAAGAGCCCCCCCCCCACGTCGACTCTAGACACGTAATAATTAGTAGTAGTAATTCCACACTGGTTTTTTTCCCGTTCCTTAATATTTGTAGGATTTTTTTTGTTTGTCCCAGCAGCTCCACCCGCTCCTCCCCCCCCCACCACCCCCCACCAACCCCCCAACCACCCCCCCCCCCACCATCCAGCAGCCTCGAGGCGCAAGACGCGAAGCGGCACTCCCTGTTGGCTCCCCAACAACACCGCAGTCTCCATCCCCACCTCTCGTCACCCATCATCCATCCCATCTCACACGATACCACCACCACCACCTTCACCCCTGCCTATCTCATCCCCTACATCCATCCCTTTCTTCCCACAAAACTCTCCCCACCACCCCCCCATCACCCCCCACCACCACCCCCCACCACCCCCCCCCATCACCACCACCACCCCCCACCACCACCCCCCCCACCACCTCCCCCCCACCATCACCACCCCCCCCCCACTACCACCCCCCCCCCCCCACCACCACCACCCCCCCATCACCACCACCACCCCCCACCACCACCTCCCCACCACCACCACCCCACCACCACCACCCCCCCACCACCACCTCCACCCCCCCCACCACCCCCTCCCCCCCCACCACCACCACCTCCCCCCCGCACCATCACCACCCCCCCCACTACCACCCCTCACCACCACCTCCCCCCCACCACCACCTCCCCCCCCCACCACCACCTCCCCACCACCACCAACACCTCCCCCCCCCATCACCACCTCCCCCCCACCACCACCTCCCCCCCACCACCCCCCCTCCCCCCCACCACCACCTCCCCACCCCCCCCCCCCCACCATCACCCCTCCCCCCCACCACCACCTCCCCCCCACCACCTCCCCCCCCACCACCTCCCCCCCACCATCACCACCCCCCCCACACTACCACCCCTCCCCACCACCCCTCCCCCACCACCTCCCCCCCACCACCACCACACCCCCCCCACCACCCCCCCACCACCACCCCCACCACCACCCCCCCCCCACCACCACCACCCCCTCACCACCACCCCCCCACCACCGCCACCCCCCCCACTACCACCCCTCCCTCTCTCCATCTTCCACCCTCCTCCACTCCCTCCCACCCTCAACCCGTCCGCATTCCTCCTCCCAGCACCAACCCCGCTGCCCCCCCCCCCCCCGTGGCGCCGAACGTCGTGGCAACGTCTCGACGCGGACGTCTTCCGCGAGGCACAAGTTGGTTTTGGGGGGGCGCTGGCGGGTGGTGCTGAGAAGAGACGAGAGACATTTTATTTGTTGGAGGAGGAGAGAGGAGAGACTGAGGGAGGAGGAGGGAGGAGGAGAGAGAGAGGAGAGAGAGGAGGGAGAAGAGGAGGGAGGAGGAGAGAGGAGGAGGGAGGAGAGAGAGAGGAGGAGGGAGGAGGAGAGAGGAGAGAGAGAGGAGAGAGAGGAGGAGGAGAGAGGAGGAGGGAGGAGGAGAGAGAGAGGAGAGAGAGGAGGAGGGAGAGAGGAGGAAGGAGGAGGGAGAGGAGGAGGGAGAAGAGGGAGGAGGAGAGAGGAGGAGGGAGGAGAGAGAGAGGAGGAGGGAGGAGGGAGAGGAGGAGGAGGGAGGAGGAGGAGGGAGGAGGTCTTTGATAAATTTGGATTCGTCCGCACAGCGGCACCGGCCATGGCCCAGCAGCGCTCGTCCGCCGCGGCTCAGAAGAGCCTCCGCCTGGGTAAGGTCCCAGCCCGGATCGTCTTGGTGGATCAACGGTGTGGCGTGGTGTGGCGTGGCGATAAGGGATTAGATGTTGAAAAGGTCTTAATGAGATCGGCTTCCTCTCGCGCGAGTCGACGCGCGACCCGCAGTTGAGCTCCTGTCACTGGCACGGGGAGTGAAACGTCGCGAAGGGCAAACACCACGGGGGAGGGGGGGGTTGTTATTATCCGTACAATTTGTGGTGGTCGCGGAATTAAAAACAATCAACGAACCCTTTGCGTGGGTTACAGTTGATATACTGTTTGTTGATATGTTTAAAAAAAAACAAGAGATAAAAAAACCTCGCATTATTATTGTATTGTAAATGTGCTTCTTGTGTGTGTGGTGGTGGGGGGGGGTGTCACGATTATGGACGTTCCTCTTTAGTTTCAGTGAAATAAATCTGATTCGGTCCCACTGGGGTGGTGGTGGTGGTGAGGGTCTCGGCTGGGCCGGCGGGGAGGCGCCGCCGCCGCCGCCTTGGCTGTGACGGCCGCCCCGAGGGGGCCCCCAGAGAGCCCCGCGTAGCCAGAGACGTGTGGTGGTGGTGTGGTGGTCGCCGTGGTGGTGTGGTGGTGGTGTGGTCGCTGTGGTGGTGGTCGCCGTGGCCGTGGTGGCCGTGGTGGTGGTGTGGTTGTGGTGTGGTCGCCGTGGTGGTGGTGGCCGTGGTGGTGGTGTGGTTGCCCTGGTGGTGGTGGTCGCCGTGGTGGTGGTGGTCGCCGTGGTGTGGTGGTGGTGTGGTGGTGTGGTTGCCCTGGTGGTGGTGGTCCCCGTGGTGGTCGCCGTGGTGGTGGTGGTGTGGTGGTGGTGTGTGGTTGCTGTGGTGGTGGTTGGTCCCCGTGGTGGTGGTGTGGTTGCTGTGGTGGTGTGGTCGCTGTGGTGGTGGTGGTTGCCCTGGTGGTGGTGGTCCCCGTGGTGGTGGTGGTCGCCGTGGTGGTGGTCGCCGTGGTCTTCGCGGTCACCCGCCTCCGTGTGCGGCGTGCGTGAGGCTCGCGAATTCCGTCCCCGTGTTAACGAACACGGGGACGGAATTCGCGTCCAATATCGTCACCTACCAGACGGATCATCTCGCTCCGCGACGCGGTGGACCTTCAAGATTCCGCCGGAGGTCAATCGAATCGGAGACGACTTAGACCACCGCTGTGCGTTCCGCCATCGTCACCGCCACCGTCGTTCTAATTTGGTCTAAATTTAAGAAAATAACACCGTACAGTACGCACTCGTCAAGTACTTAATGTGGAAGCGCGCATAGCAATCGTCGCCCCCTACTGATAAAATGTTACCTGGCAGGAACCCTCCTGTGACAAGGAATCCCGAGATTCGGGGTGGGTCCCCTCTCTCTGGGTAAACAAGTACAATAATTATAAACATCATAGCAGCAGCATGACCCAAAAGACATCAGCTTGCATTGCTGCTTGAGATCCCGCCTGTTGGTATTTGTTACACGAGCGTTACCCCAAACTCAATTGACACCCTTGCAAACGAGACGTTCCTTCTGCGGCCGTCTGGAACGCTCTTTCGATGTAAGGCAGCCACTGGAAGCTGTGCACTTATACAAATCTGGACTGAAAACTAATTTCTTAACAGCTGCTTTTTGTGTTTAGTTTTGTTGTCCTTCCCCCTGCACCTCTGATCAGCACGGTTGGCTACGTATGGTGCGAAAGAAGTTCAGCATACATACAAAATACTTTATTTACAGTAATACATACTGTACAACTAAAACTACTAAATACAACTGCACCGCACTCGAAGTGGATGCCGATTCATTGATGCATTGTTGATCCCATAATTGCCGCAACAACTACTTTTAATGTAACTCGTATGTGTTCACAGGTGTTGATAGCCTATATTCCTTATGTGTTCACACCACAATTGTTATTTTAAACGAGTGGTTATTTTGTATAAGAGCCATTCAGGATGGGTTTGGGCATAACAGCTGTAATCAATTTATATGCTCCGTGGATAGCTTACGAGTACTGTATTATACCCAAGGGTGCAAATAGGTCAGCACACCGTGGTGGGAGTATTTACGAGTTCCCCCAATAATTCCTTCCCATTATCAGCCATGATTATAGCACAGATCGGTGCAGATGTTTCTTACTTAGCTAAAATTGGTACTCGTCTTTCTTTGAGAGAGGCAGGCGGGTTCTGTCCGGCATTAAGGGTCTGTTTGCACTAGTTTATCCACTACACGCATGAAGTATGGGGCATTCACACTCGTGTCTCTTGGTTGTGCAGGAATGAATTTCGATGAAGATCTGCAGGCCATGGTACAGGGCAGGACAATGCGCAAGGTGAAAGCCAACGGATGGAACAGGAAGCGCAGCTTGCAGCTGCAGGACGACCTCAGCTCGTTGGTTTGCGACTCCAAAAAATTTGGCCAGTCCAAAACCGTCTGTGAGTAACAAGGCAGCTTCACCTACATACACATACGTATACAGCCTGTGGATTTTTTGAGAGGCACGCTGGCATAACAATGAGCAAACAATGTACCCTTTAACAACGTCACCAGATATAATGCGGAAGAGCTACGGTTGGTACGGATTGTGCGCGCTATATTAATGCAGCGGTGGTGATGAGTTTAACCTCATGACGTGTCGCTCCGGATATCCCATGTATGTGTAACTTGACACCCTGAAAACCCATGCAAACGAGATGATTCATCTCAAGGGATTATCCAGGTTAAAATATTTAAAGAAATCAAATGAAAATGTGCCGCATAGGAAAGTGAACAGTGTTAGCCGTGTTATGTATGACTGATAGTGGCTAAATCTTGCGGGTGTTTGTGTATATTTTCCAATCACAAATACACATTTACGTGTAAGAATGGATGTCAGTGAAACTACGTATAAGCTCAGGATATATGCCGGGAAATTATAAATACAGGTGATTTTGAAATTCCATGGGCAATTCTAATGCTGTCCAGCACCTAGAAAGTAACGCCAATAACAATTTAGATCGAATCAAACACATCTTGCCATAACAAATCGAATCCTTCCTGGTGCAGACTTTGTTCAGGAGATGGAGATGGTCCTGGAGGGCCACCAATCGGAGGCACTGCGCTTCGTGCAGCATGAATTCCCCCAAGAGCACTGCTTCTCAGTGGTTTTCCATGGACGGAAGGAGAACTTGGACCTGGTGGCTTCCTCGAAACAGGAAGCCCAGCTCTGGGTGCAGGGCCTCCGCAAGCTGATGGCTCAGCACAAGAGCCAGAACCATCGCGGGAAACTCGACCAATATCCTTCTTCATGTACAGAAGCAGGATCTGCTGGTGATAGTCAGTGCCACCTGGGCCTTGAGGAATTGACAGGAGCAGGAGCGAGATGATATTGAGAAGGGCAAGGGTAGAGAGGATCAGGTAAGAGGGCGAAAGTCAGCGTGAACTCCCTGACACCTATACTCGCTATGTGTTTGCATACAGATAAGAACGTTTTTATCAAAGGTAACAAATAAATCAAATGAACGGGAGTTGAAACGTAGTTTTAGTGAGCAAAGGCATTTGATCAATAACCTTCCGGTTTGAAGGAGTTGGCACAGTGAGGGAACATTGGGAAACAATAGCTACCATTTGTCTTTAAAGTTGTAACGATTTATGTATTTAAAACGTTTTAAAATAGTGCAGATTCTGCACAGATACAACATTACAACGGGACACTGACAAGAGTTCGCCAGTCACTGTTCTTCAGAGATTTGCCACAGCTGCATAACCCCATGTCCACATTTGAGTGAAATTGCACTTGTAATTTTAAGTTCTTGATATATTGACAACTACAGTCAGTACAGTCTGTTCTCCTATAATGTGGTAGTTGTATTCCTGAAGAACACTGCATTATGAAAATCGCGTCAGAATAAATAATTTAGAATATAGGGTAAAGCACAGTCCGCGATAACACGTGAGATTCACGTGCAGGCTGAACAAAGATTGAGGCGCGTGGTTAGCATCTAGAAGCATCCAGCAGCATCCCGTCTTGTGTGATGCTACACCTAGGCAGCCATACAACCGCTTATTCCTACTCACACGACGTAGTTCTCCTCACTCGATCGCCTTATATCCAATTCGCATCCACGTTATTAAAAAAATGTGTCCCCTAATACATTCATCGCGTTATAGCTAATTCGTGTTATGACAATGCGCGTTATTGGAGAAGAGACTGTACTTGCTTGCGTACCCCTCACCCGTGTTGCGAAAAGAAATCCTCCTTGACACACATTAACGTGGATCTATGACTGGGTGCAGAAGGCCGACAAAAACAAGGATGGTAAGATGACCCTCTCGGAGGTGAAGAGCCTGCTGATGCTCATGAACACCGCCGTGGACGACAATTATGTGAAGGGTCTCTTTCAGGTACGAACGTTTGCACACGTTTCGTTTCCATTCACATCCCTTTTTGAGTGCTGTCATGTTTTAGATCGTTGAGCACTTAACAGAGAAAACGAGAAACACAGGGGAATGTTTTGTTTCCAATGTAATTCGTGGAGGTGGCCCAACGGAGTGAGTGCTGTTTGTCCATAGACCACACGCCGCATGTTCGTAAATGAATTGCGTTATCTGCAATTTGGTTGACTGACTTAGTGATGAAATAGGGTTGTGTGTAGGGTGCTAGGTGGAAAATTACATCACAGGATAGTTAGATGACAACGGCTTGAGCAGGATTTCATACAGCAGTGGATTGATCATGACTGATTGATCATGACGATGAAAAGTGTCCCTGTACTGCAGTAACTCTAAATTATGTACCGCCTCGTGTATTCATCCATAAGGTGTACAATTGTTGTTCATACACTCAGTGGCACTGTACCTCTAAGCATTTGTACACAGGTTGAAGCTGTGTTAGTTGTTGTCCATTGTGTTAGATTTACTGAAGCGTTGAACGATGCTGACTGTGGTGGAGGCGCAAGGCGTTGCCTCGAATTGACATACCCTGAGGAGCTGTTAAACGTGTGCAGTTTTTTCAGACAAGTCACCGCACGACCTTGCCGAAGCAACGAGGAGCATTTTGCATCGTAGCTACTGAGATTTACAGTTGTGCGTACATACGTGTATATTTATTATAAAACGCCTAAGCCCGCAGATTGTGCTCTCCACAATCGTTTTCAGGGTTGTGTTATAGGCCTTGGAAGGTTGATGCGATGTCGAGAATGGTATTATTCTCCTATAGTTGTCAAGAGTAACAGCACAGTATCGATGCGTTCAACAATAGCCAAGCCCTGCCCTGATTGGCACAGAATCTCGCCAAACATTCTTTTCCTCTTTCCTTCTGCAAGGCGTTGTTTGGGAACTCTGTCCGGTGGCACAAGCTGACGGGATAGAGAGCGGAACTCTGTCTAGTGGCACAAGCTGACGGGATAGAGAGCGGAACTCTGTCCGGTAGCACAAGCTGACGGGATAGAGAGCGGAACTCTGTCCAGTGGCACAAGCTGATGGGATAGAGAGCGGAACTCTGTCTAGTAGCACAAGCTGACGTGATAGAGAGCGGAACTCTGTCCGGTGGCACAAGCTGACGGGATAGAGAGCGGAACTCTGTCTAGTAGCACAAGCTGACGGGATAGAGAGCGGAACTCTGTCTAGTAGCACAAGCTGACGGGATAGAGAGCGGAACTCTGTCCGGTAGCACAAGCTGACGGGATAGAGAGCGGAACTCTGTCTAGTAGCACAAGCTGACGGGATAGAGAGCGGAACTCTGTCCGATGGCACAAGCTGACGGGATAGAGAGCGGAACTCTGTCTAGTAGCACAAGCTGACGGGATAGAGAGCGGAACTCTGTCCGGTGGCACAAGCTGACGGGATAGAGAGCGGAGAAGGAAGCGATTATCTTAACAGGATTTATTTCGATGCAGATGGCCAAACCAAACTACAGGATGTCCACGACGCATCCTCACTGGGAGATTTATGAAAACGCGAAGGATAATAGCTGAAGTAAAATGTAACCTGGATATATTTAAATTATGTGAAATTATTAAATCGGTGGTAGTGATGGTGTTGTAGTGGTGTTGATGGTGTTGGTGTTGATAGTGATGATGATAGTAGGCATGGCAGTGGTAGTGACTGACGGTGTTGGTGGTGGTAGTAACGGTGATAGTATTGTGGCTGTGGTAGTGATGGTCTTGTGGTTGCAGTGGTAGTTGATGGTGTTGTGGTGGTAGTGGTGGTGATGGTGTTGTGGTTGTAGTGGTAGTTGATGGTATTGTGGTAGTGGTAGTGATGGTGTTGTGGTTGTAGTGGTAGTTGATGGTGTTGTGGTGGTAGCGGTGGTGATGGTGTTGTGGTGGTAGCGGTGGTGATGGTGTACGCGGTTAAAGCTGCTCTAGAGCAGCTAGTAGTGAAACAACTCAACACATTCATCATTAACATTGGTATTTCAATAAATAAAAATATATAATAGGCAACGTTTGAGGCAATGGTCCTTCCTCATAAAGCACACACATAAATCATTGTATGTGCTCTGAAGGGCCATTGCCCAAAATACATTATTTCGTCGCAATTTTTTTTTCTTTGAAGGCCACACACAGTGTGATTGTTGACATTTTTTTTCATTGTGGCTTGTGCACCACTGCTAATGCAGCATCACCAAATAGCGAGCAGGGCAGGTCGGTCTGGATAACCAATGTCGACCTGCTCTTCTGTGTAGCAGTAGCAGCATGATTTTGATTTGTTTGGCCTTAAGTACAATGTGATGAGTACTCACTTCCAATACAGTGAGCTGTGTGTTTATTTTGCACATTTGATATTCGAGGTTTATTAAAGCAATCATTGATTACTTTAATCCAATCCAGCCTGTTATGCTGCATATAGGTCCACACTTATGGAAATGTGTATGGTCATTATGACTCCAGTTATTAATGGTAATGCTTTGATGTCCAACTGATAATTAAGACTATTAATCGTTAGCCATGATCTAACCACTGGTAGATGAATACCACGCAAAGCTATCACATCTCTCACAGTCTTGTGATGTAACAAATCCTGGCGTGTGTAATCTCAGTTGAGTAACTTTTGGATAATCATAAAAAATGGAAAATGTGGACCTTAACGCCAGCACACAATGGCCTACCAGGGGATCTTTAACATTCACTGTGAAGGAGATGGCACATTTTTATTACGGTTATTACACCCGGAGTAATAATTATGGCGGCCGCTGAATTTGAATTGTGAACTTCTGCAATAATCAGCGAATGTGCTGCTGCTAGGCGATATCACCACCACCGCAATCTTTGTGAGTGTTTATCATTATCGCCTGCATTTCCCACAGCACTGCGACACGTCTAAGTCTGGTATGCTGGAGGAAGATGAGTTTGTGGAGTTCTACAAGCAGCTGACACGCCGGGAGGAGGTGACCTCACTCTTCTCGCAGCTGACGTCGGGTGGAAACCTCCTGAGCCTGGAGCTTTTCCGCCGCTTCCTATCGGAGCAGCAGCACGAGGACATGGAGGCCGGAGCAAGCGAAGGCCATGCAGCTGCGATCTTGGACATGTACGAGCCCTCGGCCATGGGTAGGTGTCCGCCCAGTAGGTGATTATGGCATTATGGGTGGCAGGGTGGCGCAGTGGGTAACACTTTTGCCACACATCAAGAAGCACCTGGGTTGGATTCCTAGCTCGGGCACCTTTCTGCATGGAGTTGGTATGTTCTCCCCCTGGTCTGGATGGGGTTTACACAAGGTTCTCCGATTTTCTCTCATCGCAAAAAAAAAAACCCATTCCAGTTCTGAAAAAATACCTACAATTTATTACACATACTTAGTAGCAACAGTGCCCCCTACTTTGAAGAGATTTGTTGAGATTTTTGGATAAATAATTAAAACCATAAAAAATAATGACCACCAAATGTATGACCACTATCATCATCATCATCACCACAAGACTGACAAGTGGGAAACGTCCCCAACAACAACAACGCATAATACATTGTTGATGACGTATTCTGAGCCCTGGGAGTTGTTGCACGGGTATTCCCCACTGCAGATAAGCACAATTAATAACACGTGCTGACTTTCCCGGGTCACTTTCTCTTATCTATAGTGAGGGAAAAAAGTATTTGATCCCCTGCTGATTTTGTACGTTTTCCCACTGACAAAGAAATGACCAGTCTATAATTTTAATGGTAGGTTTATTTGAACAGTGAGAGACAGAATAACAACAACAAAATCCAGAAAAACGCATGTCAAAAATGTTATAAATTGATTTTCATTTTAATGAGGGAAATAAGTATTTGACCCCTCTGCAAAACATGACTTAGTACTTGGTGGCAAAACCCTTGTTGGCAGTCACAGAGGTCAGACGTTTCTTGTAGTTGGCCACCAGGTTTGCACACATCTCAGGAGGATTTTGTCCCACTCCTCTTTGCAGATCTTCTCCAAGTCATTAAGGTTTCGAGGCTGACGTTTGGCAACTCGAACCTTCAGCTCCCTCCACAGATTTTCTATGGAAATAAGGTCTGGAGACTGGCTAGGCCACTCCAGGACCTTAATGTTCCCCTTAGTAGAAAAACACCCCCAAAGCATAATGTTTCCACCTCCATGTTTGACGGTGGGGATGGTGTTCTTGGGGTCATAGGCAGCATTCCTCCTTCTCCAAACACGGCGAGTTGAGTTGATGCCAAAGAGCTCCATTTTGGTCTCATCTGACCACAACACTTTCACCCAGTTGTCCTCTGAATCATTCAGATGTTCATTGGCAAACTTCAGACGGGCATGTATATGTGCTTTCTTGAGCAGGGGGACCTTGCGGACGCTGCAGGATTTCAGTCCTTCACGGCGTAGTGTGTTACCAATTGTTTTCTTGGTGACTATGGTCCCAGCTGCCTTGAGATTATTGACAAGATCCTCCCGTGTAGTTCTGGGCTGATTCCTCAGTTCTCATGCTCATTGCAACTCCACGAGGTGAGATCTTGCATGGAGCCCCAGGCCGAGGGAGATTGACAGTTATTTTGTGTTTCTTCCATTTGCGAATAATCGCACCAACTCTTGTCACCTTCTCACCAAGCTGCTTGGCAATGGTCTTGTAGCCCATTCCAGCCTTGTGTAGGTCTACAATCTTGTCCCTGACATCCTTGGAGAGCTCTTGAAGAGTTTGTAATCTGATTGATCGATTGCTTCTGTGGACAGGTGTCTTTTATACAGGTAACAAGCTGAGATTAGGAGCACTCCCTTTAAGAGTGTGCTCCTATTCTCAGCTCGTTACCTGTATAAAAGACACCTGGGAGCCAGAAATCTTTCTCATTGAGAGGGGGTCAAATACTTATTTCCCTCATTAAAATGCAAATCAATTTATAACATTTTTGATATGCGTTTTTCTGGATTTTATTGTTGTTATTATGTCTCTCACTGTTTAAATAAACCTACCATTAAAATTATAGACTGATCATTTCTTTGTCAGTGGGCAAACGTACAAAATCAGCAGGGGATCAAATACTTTTTTCCCTCACTGTACATTATGGCTTGGTTAATAGGAAGAGCGTAGCACATGGATGACAGGAAAGCACGTGCATTCCATAGAGTATGCGGATAATTGCAATCGCTGAGGTGCACTGTACCTCACAAATACACTTATTCGTGTTTATCATGTTTAATAGTGGTGGATTGTTTCAATATTTTCTATAGATATTAGGAGGAAATTTCTCTCATTTCTGAAACGTTCTTATCAGCAATGAGGTTATCTCACTTTGTCATCAACTAATGTATGGACACTTCCAAAGCAGAATCCCAAAGAATATGCTCAGATACATTGAGGTTATCCTGGACAACAATATTTTATAATGATTGACATCAGCAGATCAAGCAGTGCTTGTTGAAATCATGGTAGTCCACTCGACCACCATGGGTGCAGCATGTCTACATCCCAGCCGTCTCCCTCAACTCTACAGACTCTGGGCGCCTCCTTACTCCCAGGGTCTGCTACTCCACCATTTGTGGCTGCTCATTTAGCCACTATGCCATCTGCCCTCTGGAACTTCCTCTTCAAACAACGAGGCCTGGTCCCCTTCTCTTTCTCCGCTTTCAGGTCTCTGCTCTAAATATTTCTCGTCAATCCCTGTCCATGTGTTTGGATCCCCTTAATCGCCTCTTTTCTCTGCTTCCCTCACTCGGTCCCTCTCGCTTTCCTTCTTTGTGTTTCTGCTCTGAGGCGTTGATTACGCTGTGGGTGAATTATAGCTGTAAGTTATTGTTTTTGTTGTTATGAATAACACTGATAGACGATGCGGTGTCCTCTGGGTTGCGCAGCTAAAGAGCAGCAGAGCATGACTCTGGATGGCTTCACCATGTACCTCATGTCCGCGGACGGCTGCATTTTCAACCCAAGCCATGGACACGTGTTCCAGGACATGAGCCACCCACTCAGCCACTACTTCATCTCATCCTCGCACAACACCTACCTGATGGAAGACCAGCTCCGTGGACCCAGCAGCACTGAGGCCTATGCCAGGTGCTCAAGTATGCATCAGTGTGTGAGTGTTGGTGTGTATGTGTGTTTGTGGCGCAAACACACACACACCCAGGCCTGGGCTCTGGGTTGTTCTTTGTGCTTTTGGAGTCCCTAACCCTCTGCTCACGATCATTAAGGACCTTCATGATGGTGAGCGGGCCCGGGTAAGACTACGTGGCCGGGAGTCAGAGCCATTCCCTGTACACCTTGGGGTACGACAGGGATGTCCTCTGGCTCCCACATTATTTAACATCTATTTTGACCACGTAGTTCGGGAAGCCTTCAATAGCTGTACCGAGGGAATCTCCATATGGTACAGATATAATGGGAGGCTGATCGATGCCTGGGTGCGGTCAAGGGATGGCTCCCTATTGCTCAACCACGTTATGTATGCCGATGATTTAGTAATAGCTGCTCATTCAGAGGAGGAGTTGGAGACGCTGCTGCTGAGACTGGAGCGTGCCACTAAGAGATGGGGCATTACCATCAGCCCCACCAAAACTAAGCACCTGCCTGGGTATTTTGTACCATCGGACACTCCACCCCCACAACTCCCAATCGGTGATGGGGCAGTTGTGGAGAGAGTGGAGAGTTTCCCATACCTGGGCAGTGTGCTTATGGCCGGCTCCAGTTTAACAGCAGAGGTCTCACTCCGAATCAGTCGAGCGGCAATATCTTTTCATCGGTTGCGTAGCGCTGTGTGGAAGCTACCTGTCTGTCGCTCCGCACTAAGCTTCAGGTCTTCTCGGCCACGGTCATTTCCTCCCTTCTCTACGCTTGCGAAACGTGGACCCCCCTAATGGAACATCTTCGCCGGTTGGAAACATTTAGGCTGGCCTGCCTACGATCCATCCTGGGTTTAACCAGGCTGGATTGTGTGAGGAGCTCACAAATCCTTGAAAGATCTGGGCAAGGTCCCATCGGTGAGCTCCTCCGGCAGGCAAGGCTGCGTTGGCTGGGTCATGTAGCCCGCATGCCCAGCCACCGCATGCCGAAACAGCTTTTGTTCGGCCGGATCGAGGGGGCTAAGCGGGCGCGGCACGGGCTAGAGAAGAGATGGAGTGATGTGGTACAGGAGGACGTGTAGCTGAGTGGACTTGCTGATGACTGGTACCAGCGGTGTCAAGATCGGCCTCTGTGGAGGAGGCTCGTGAAGGACGCTACTGGGCAGTTGGAGGCAGTTGCCCTCCAACAATAACGGAGGGCGGAAGAGCGACGCTCACAACAACGAGCGGAGCGCCGGGTGACTAGGGAACAGCAGTTTGGCACAGTAGGGGGCACAGGTGGTGCATCAACCAGTCACCTCAGTCAGTCGACCCGTGGCACCTGGGTCTGCCCCGTGACCTCCTGCCAGCGGGCGTTCGACATTTCACGTGGCTTCAAGGTGCACATGGCCTGGCACAAGCGTCGTGGTGACGTCACCGTCACTTAGTGGCGAATGGCGGTTGTTGTTGTTGTTGTTTGTGGTGCAGTGGTTAGCGCCCTGCACTTTGCACCCGGTGACCCGAGTTCGATTCCTGCTCATGGCCAACACCAGTGACGATTATCTTAACCAGTCCTGGGCCTTCCCCAGGTCGACTCAGCCTCAAATTAGTACCTGGTGCAATGTGTAAACATCACCACTAAGGAGACAAAGGCGGTCGGGCATGGCACTGGCCACCCAACAGTCTGTCAGGCTACTTGGAGGATCTTTGTGTTTGTCTTTTTTTGTATGTGTGTGTATATATATTTGTAAAACATGGACTTCTTCATAGAAACACCTCTGCCAGCTGGAAATAATCAGGCTGGCCTGCCCTACGATCCGTCTAGTGTTTGGCGACTGTTGTTGTTACATGTATATATGTATTATTGTAATGAAATGTATATTTTGCAATTACAATCAGTATCATGGGACCATGATTACTTCTTTTTATTATTTTTGTTTTTATTGTGACTCAATGCGAGCCCGGTACAAAGCGCCGATCACAGAACGGAGTGGGGAACAAAAATTATGCGAAAAACAGCCCGAGTTCGGCGCGGCGGGGCTTAGTACAGGGGGATAATTGGGCTCACTGCCCCATCCATGTGGGGACCACTAGCGAGGGCATGAAAGATCATATGGAGAGGGGAAAAAGGTATAGGCAAATATAACTAACATGAAAAAAGGGGGGACAGGTGGATAGGAGGGGAAGTGGGGAGGGGACTATGATGATGTCTAAAAGAGCTTGATCCCTTTAAGTCCCGTTGTCTAGGGAGGTGTCAAATCATTGCTGAGCGGTCGGTCTCTCCCCGTGCGCAGGGCTCTGAAGCGCGGGTGCCGCTGCGTGGAGCTCGATTGTTGGGACGGCCCAAACGGAGACCCCATTGTCTACCACGGCTACACCTTCACTTCCAAAATCCTCTTTCGCGATGTCATCGAGGTCATCAATCAGTACGCATTCCAGGTACTGCCGCCTCTCCTCATGCGTGCAGCTGTCACCAATATGGTATTCAGCTCAAAGCTCTTAAAACTTAGCAGCTTCAGTTCCTGTAAAGCAGAGCTGCAGAAGGATTGACTCCTCCGTCAGAGTATCTTTATAAGATCTTGTCTCTTTATGCATGGATGTTTAACTTCTTTTGCACCGTACATAGCCAACCGTGCTGAATGGAGGTGCTCATCGTTATGTTTAATGTATTAGTCAACTATATATACATCAGTCACAAATAAGTTATACAAAAATAAAATGATACACCTGTATATTTGTTGAAACACAGTTGCTGAGCACAGGGCCCAAATGCCCAAAGCATCAAGTGACCTGCAACAAACAGCACCATCAAAGAGATGTAATTGAAAAGAGTGAGGACGTTTCTTGAATTGAGCAAGGCTTTGAAATATCGGGGATAAAGAGACACTGGGAGGGAATGCCAAAGTCTAGCAGTGTGAGGCAAGAACCAGAAAGAGAAATGTTTTTTGACCTGCAGCATGGTGGTTTGAACACAGTAGGGCTGAGACCAAACCGTCAGTCTGGTAGGGCCTCTACAGTGCCTCTAGATATAATGTGCTGTGCCTTGGCATGCGATGCCACTGAAACTGCCGAAACGTTGCTGTGTTTGCATTTGTGTCGGCAGTCGTCGGAGTTTCCGTTGATTCTGTCGATCGAGAACCACTGCACCATGCCACAGCAGACGGTCATGGCTCAGTACATGCGCAATATCTTTGGCAACAAGCTGCTGACGGTGCCACTTGGAGGAAAGGTACCCACGGTGCTGCCGTCCCCCGAGGTGAGACTCCCTGCGTGTGGCCGCTGCCACCACGCCATTTCGTCGTGTCTCAAGAGAATGGTGTACCGTAATGTGATCTTGCAGCCCAGTTTCCAATCTTGACCACGATACATGATCCTGGCCCCAAGGTCCTGGCACCACGATGCAAGGTCCGGAGACAAAAGCAGCCAATGCTGACCCGATTGCCCCATGGTCTGTCCTATTGTATGTATGTTGAACTTCTTTCGCATTGTACGAGCCAACCGTGCTAATCGGAGGTGCTTCAGTTTGTGCCAGCAGCTCAGCCGTTTCCCAAACTCAGACTATAAATGAGAATGTGGTGGATGCATGTGAAATTCAACAACTTTTTGACGAAGCAATTGAATAGGTAAATCACCTGCAACTGAATCTCTAATAGTTGCTCTTCATAGGCCATACGAAAGAAGAAGACTTTTTCTGACTTGCAATGTATAATACCTTATGGAGGTATCTGTCTTGTGCAGGATAGTTCCTTATAGTGTGGGCTACACTTCTTAGAGAAGCAGAAGCCACTGCTGGGGTAAGAATTGGAGTGTCTTTGTATTGGGTGGTAGACAAAAATGTGGGATTATGCGCACTGAACCGACACAACGTGTGGAGGTTGCGTACGGGCAGCAAATGATGGAGCAGGGCAGTAAGTGATGTCTGCAGTAAGTGAAAGCATATAAGCTTGGTGCACAGAAAAATGTGTACAAAGACAAAGATCCCTCATATAGCCTTAACTGACTTTTGGGGTAAGTGCTGTTAGCAAACACCTATGAAGGCTGGCATAGTACACTAGGAGGTGGGTGGCCAGCACCACGGCCATCCACCTTTGTCTCCCCAGTGGCGATGTTTACTCATCGCTCCAGGTACTCATTTGAGGCTGAGTCAAGCTAGATGAGGCCCAGGACCAGTTCAAATAATGGTCACTGATGTTTGCCGTGGGCAAGAATCGAACTCGAGTCACTGGGTTCGTAGCGCAGTGCACTAACCGCGACACTGCCTGTACACATTGTACGCATGTTTCCATGTGTACAGGCATCAGGAAAAGTATACTGGTAAAGGTGAGTAGGTAAAGGCCAAGTCAGGTTTCAAATTTATTTGTTTAACAAGGTGGTGAGAACTCAAGAGACCAAGGATGGTAACCATTTGCAAGGGCGACTTGGATCACCAACATTCCAAAGCAAAACAATTAAAAGTACAGCAATGAAGACAATATAAATCGGAGCAAAAACAACCATGTTACATGAGGAAAAGGTGTACGGATAATCTTGTACACATTCTGTCAGCCTTATCTGTCGTGAATTGCTCAGTGTAATGCTAGACTGTATGCATTTTTTTAATGACAAATGCTATGTGTTTGTTATTTGTGTTTATAATCAAGATGATTTGCATTAACTTTTATACTTGTGAATGGGGTTATCAGAATATGTGCATCTTCATTCAAGGGCGCAAGCTCCTTATAAATACAAAACACCGAGGGACGATGAAGGAGTTTATTTGGTGTTTTTGCAACGTATGGTGCATGTGCATGGCATGTGTGCGACACTTGTGCGATGTGTGTGCACGTGTGCATGCAGGAACTAAAAGGCCGGATTTTGGTGAAGGGTAAAAAGCTCGGCCAGCTGGAAGAGAGTGTTCATGCCAATCAGGGAGAGGTTTCAGATGAAGATGAGGCTGCTGAGATAGAGGATGAGGCGGTCAAGAAGAACATGCCTGTGGCAAGGACCCCACACTGCACCAAGAATCCCGCACGGCACAAATGACCAATTTTAATAATCATGTTTTTTGCTCGGTGGCTTATTATGCTTTCCATTCACGGCGCGTCGCGACCCTGCTGCATTTCAGAAAGTGAAGCTGACCCTGTCGAAGGATCTGTCAGACTGCGTCGTCTACTGCAAAAGCGTGCACTTCCGCGGCTTCGAGATTTCGCGCGAGAAGGGCTGCTGCTACGACATATCATCCTTCGGAGAGACCAAGGCCCGCAAATTGTCCACCGAGAATAGTGAGAGCCTTGTTTGTTAGTGCTTTACGTGAGAGCCTTGTTGATTAGTGTTTTACGTGAGAGCCTTGTTCGCTAGTGCTTTACGTGAGAGCCTTGTTGATTAGTGCCTTATGTGAGAGCCTTGTTCGTTAGTGTTTTACGTGAGAGCCTTGTTGATTAGTGCTTAACGTGAGAGCCTTGTTCGTGAGTGTTTTACGTGAGAGCCTTGTTCGTTAGTGTTTTACGTGAGAGCCTTGTTCATTAGTGTTTTACGTGAGAGCCTTGTTCATTAGTGTTTTACGTGAGAGCCTTGTTCGTTAGTGCTTTACGTGAGAGCCTTGTTCGTTAGTGTTTTGTTCATTAGTGTTTTACGTGAGAGCCTTGTTCATTAGTGTTTTACGTGAGCGCCTTGTTCATTAGTGTTTTACGTGAGAGCCTTGTTCGTTAGTGTTTTACGTGAGAGCCTTGTTCGTTAGTGCTTTACGTGAGAGCCTTGTTCGTTAGTGCTTTACGTGAGAGCCTTGTTCGTTAGTGTTTTACGTGAGAGCCTTGTTCATTAGTGTTTTACGTGAGAGCCTTGTTCGTGAGTGTTTTACGTGAGAGCCTTGTTCATTAGTGCTTTACGTGAGAGCCTTGTTGCTTAGTGTTTAACGTGAGAGCCTTGTTCGTTAGTGTTTTACGTGAGAGCCTTGTTCGTTAGTGTTTTACGTGAGAGCCTTGTTCGTTAGTGTTTTGTTCATTAGTGTTTTACGTGAGAGCCTTGTTCATTAGTGTTTTAGTGAAGAGCCTTGTTCGTTAGTGTTTTACGTGAGAGCCTTGTTTGTTAGTGTTTTAGTGGAGAGCCTTGTTCGTTAGTGTTTTACTTGAGAGCTTTGTTCATTAGTGCTTTACGTGAGAGCCTTGTTCATTAGTGTTTTAGTGGAGAGCCTTGTTCGTGAGTGTTTTACGTGAGAGCCTTGTTCATTAGTGCTTTACGTGAGAGCCTTGTTCGTTAGTGCTTTATGTGAGAGCCTTGTTCGTTAGTGTTTTACGTGAGAGCCTTGTTCATTAGTGTTTTACGTGAGAGCCTTGAGCCTTGTTCGTTAGTGTTTTACGTGAGAGCCTTGTTCATTAGTGCTTAACGTGAGAGCCTTGTTGATTAGTGTTTTACGTGAGAGCCTTGTTCATTAGTGTTTTGTTCGTTAGTGTTTTACGTGAGAGCCTTGTTCATTAGTGTTTTACGTGAGAGCCTTGTTCGTTAGTGTTTTACATGAGAGCCTTGTTCGTTAGTCTTTTACGTGAGAGCCTTGTTCATTAGTGCTTAACGTGAGAGCCTTGTTCGTTAGTGTTTTACGTGAGACCCTTGTTCGTTAGTGTTTTAGTGGAGAGCCTTGTTAATTAGTGCTTCACATGTTCGTAAGTGAGAGCCCTGTGGTGCACACGTGGCTGGGGGGCGAGCGCGTCTCTGTTCTGTGCTGTGGGGAATGCGGACGGTGTGTGCGTGCAGGTAACGAGTTTGTGCGTTACAACTCCTTCCAGCTGAGCCGCGTCTACCCGGGCGGCCGGCGAACCGACTCCTCCAACTACAACCCCCAGGAGGCATGGAACACCGGCTGCCAGATTGGTACACAGCCTCCCACCGCGGTTCTACAGGATTGCCCATCGCTTTAACCAAATCGCTCAACCAGTCGACCAGTCCTCTCTGCCAGTGTTGTTCCATGGTATTGCAAAACCACCATGTTGCACTGCCACCCCCAGGGGTTAGATTGTGGTTTCAGAGTGAAGGTCAACTGTCCCAAGTTGGTGTAAATGTACGTGAAGGCTAATTTTATTTTGGTGTTGCCCTCTCCACCCTGCCCCCCTCTCACACCCCCAACCCCCAGTGGCACTGAATTTTCAGACAGCAGGCCGGGAAATGGACCTTAACGATGGGAAGTTCCGGCAGAACGGTGGATGTGGCTACATTTTGAAGCCAAGCGTCATGCGCAACCGCGAATCTCTCTTTGACCCGGAGCGCCCAGAGCTTGGAGCCGGCCTCAACCCCATAAACCTTTCCATCAAGGTGGGGGCACCAGTCGCGGAATACGTATTCTCTGTAGTTGCAGGGTGTTTTAAAGGTTCAAGATTAATTTGCTTAACAAGGTGATGACTCGAGAGACAAGGATGAGTCTCAGTCGCAAGTGTGACCTGTTTCACCAAATAACAAAATCAATAGAAGTAAACACAAAGTACAACAATAAAGGAAACAGAAATTGGAGCAAAAACAGCTCAAGACAATTCACAGAAATAAAGAACCACATTGCAGAAGAAATCGAAAACTGCACAAACGTAAATGAACATTAAATATTCTTAGTTTTTTCGGTAAAGTCACGTTGAAGGGAAACAACAAAATAATAAAATATATATAAAACAATAAAAAATTCTCACGACGTTTCGACCATAACTCAAACGGTTGTCTTCAGGTGTGTTGGTTTGCATAGATTTATTTTTAAACGGCGCATTTATTTATTAAAAAAAAAAACGCTAGCGCCACGCGCAACGATTTGTCAGTTTATTTAGGACTAGTCCATCTATATTCTGAAAAGAGGAGGGGGGAGACGAAATTTTTTATAAAAAAAAATGAATCTATGCAAACCAATACACCTGAAGACGACCGTTTGAGTTATGGTCGAAACGTCGTGAGAATTTTTTATTGTTTTATATATATTTTATTATTTTGTTGTTTCCCTTCAACGTGACTTTACCGAAAAAACTAAGAATATGAATTACTGCAGTCACGAAAGCTTTAAATCAAAATTTGACCATTAAATGTTATACATTTCCTGTAAGAAAAGTTTACTTGGACAAATTGCTTTTAAATACAGCTCTTCGTAAAATTAAGTTGCTGAACATAAAATGCATTTATGTTGATTATTGCACTCATATGGACACAGACAGGGGTATACATCAAATACAACCATGAGTGAAGTTATCACAGTGAACATGAATGCAATGCAATTTAACTCTGCTCATTTAATTCCCGCTTCAAGGTCATCAGTGGGCAGCAGCTGCCTAAATTGGAGGCCAGCAATAAGGGCTCCATTATGGATCCACTGGTGAGGGTGGAGGTTTATGGCGTTCCACAGGACAACAACCACCAGCAAACCTACCACATCGACAACAACGGTCCGTGTGTGTGTGAATGATGGAATACTGTGCTTCATCGAGATGTATATATCGCTGGAATTTGTAGTTCTAATAAAGCGGATGTAATGGGAGTGTTTAACGGGACTGAGTGAGTCATTATCTACCTACTGCTGGACGACGGTTTCCCCACATTGACCGTCATGTTTTGTGAAAACTTGATTGGAGAAACAAAGGCATGAATATAAATGGGGAGAATATTAACCATCGAAGATTTGCTGGTGGAAAACATAAAAAGCTCTTCATGACTTTTCTACGTCCCTTTTCTTACAGGGCCACCCCAGAGGACTTCTTCATTTGCTTCTGGGAGGGAGGTTGTTTTGAGAGACGTTTAAACGGAAAAGTCATCGCCACTCTCTGTTTCTCCATTCAGGGTTTAACCCGCGCTGGGACAAAACGCTCACGTTCCGCGTGACAGTGCCCGAGCTGGCCCTCGTGCGCTTCGTTGTGGAGGACTACGACAAGGCGTCCCGCAATGACTTTATGGGCCAGTACACGCTGCCCATGAGTAGCATGAAAACAGGTGTGCCTCGGGGGGTGTGGGTGGGTTGGACAAGGAGGGGGGGAAATGGCACATCTTGGGGTGGGGTGATGTGGACCAGCGGTAACCTGTTCGCAGCTCGTTTCAGAGGTGCGCGGTTGGAATTAGACAGGCTGCCCTGGTGAATTATACCGGTGTGTTAACCATGAAACGTGCACGTCTGCTCCACATTGGATGTTAAAGATCCGCTGATGTCATTTCAACAAAATTGGACCACTCTGTGCCAGAGTCATCATTCAAATTAAGTTACTTAATTGAAAAATACATGGCAATCATCGCTCCCTGTTGCAAAAAAAAATAGCAGGATTCTCCTGAAAAAGAGTCGTGAGGCTTTGCTGGGTAAACAAGCATAATAAATAAAATAGTGAATGAATCTTCTACCTCGCGTGGAACGTTAAAACAGAGGGTCAGATTCAGATTCACATCTTGGCCAAAGTACATTGTCTTGGCAAATTTCTCCTTTGTTGGTAATGGAGACATTGTCGTGTTTTTCCTGAAAGCTGTATGAAAAATAACATTGGTGAATACGTTGATCACACCCAAGGTCTAACATAGTGAACGTGTGTTTGGTGAAGCTGTCGAGACACATTTGCATGTTGTAAAAAGAAAAGTGGTATTTGGGCATTGTCCTCACATATGGTTTGGCCTTGATTATTATCGATGTAATTGTAGATTTGTGTTATATATTTTAGAAAGTTGTTTTTCCTTACTGACAGAAATTATTATGTTATTTGGTCCAGTATTTAAAATATATTGCTAAATTGGCAGACATCGCTAATTTTTATAGTGAGCATAACGTGCTCACAGGGATGGCTAAACATCTCGCGAGTGATGCAAACTCGGAATTTGCACAACCTGGTGCCTTTGGCAAGACCTTGAATTGTTTCTGCTCTGTATTGTTTCTTGCTTCATTATCTCAAGCAGAGGAAGAGCAGGAATAACCTTCTGGTGTTTGCAAACGAGGTTCAAAAACATTTCCAGCATCGCCGATGTCTGTGCTGTCACGCTTGACGTGAAGCCACCCCACCCTGCTGAAGATAGCCGAGTGCCTGATTCTCTGTGCAGAGATATGGACCGGTCAATTATATCTGTGTTGCTGTTTATCATCTCGTGTTGTTGCAGGCTACAGGCAAGTCCCTCTGCTATCTCACGACGGCACCAGCCTGGCTCCATCCTCTCTCTTTGTTCACGTAGACACGACCAACTGAGCAACTACAGCGGTGTTGACGCTGTCAATATACAAGAGCAACATGGCGTCGATGTGAATCGTGATCCGTGTGACCACACGTGCGTCGATATGCCAGCATCATTGTTTTATATAATTTACTCTTGTTTACCCACACATGCTTTGCACAGTCTCAAGGCTGTTTTTTTCAGCAGGGTCATCATTACTATATTTGCATACTTATATAATAAGCAATTCAAGTAGACGCCTACACAGGCATTCACACACGTGCTACAAACTCTTCTGTGCAAGCAAAGAAATATGCAATATGCCTTGTTTTTAGTTGGTTATATGAGTGAATATTTTAAAATATATTTTACCAGCCATAGTTATACAACTATTTAAAATTAGAGTTCAAGTTCAATCGTTATAAACGTTTAGTAATTTTAAAACGCCTCTGTGCAAGGGATATTTTAGGTAATGGGTTCACTACTGAGCTTGCTTGTGTAGTTTGATCTCAGGCAAACAATGTTGTAAAAAAAAATACTCGCACTGACTGAATTATTCTGCTGTTTTTAAATATGCAAGTATTTATGGGGTTCCAGAATAAGTTTGCAAATATGAAACTTTGGGAATGAGATTTCCTAAAATGTATAGGAAATGTTGGAAAAGAAAATAATTTACATGACTGGCACTTAGAAAAAGTTATTTAATTTTAAAGAGCAATACTTTTTACATTCCCCTTTAACAATTTATCATTAAGGACTTGTCACTTTTTCCTGCTTGTCAATGCACTCTGTGAGGTGTTGTTGAATTTAGTTTGAAAAATGCTAACATTACTTCATTGCACCTTTGAGATATCAGGGCCTCTCTCCACACACCTGTCAAATATTTGTCAAAAGTGCATGTACAGTAAAACTTTGGATTGCGAGTAACTGGTCTGCGAGTGTTTTACAAGACGAGCAAAATTTTAAATAAATATTAATTTGATAAACGAGCGAGGTCTTGCAATACGAGTAGTACGTATACGCTTTGTCTGCTGAGCGTCACGTGATCCCAACTGATTTTTGAGTGCTTTGGATTACAAACACGTTTCCGGAACGAATTATGCTCGCAATCCAAGGTTTTACTGTAATTGGCAACTCCAGTAAATTCTTCTGCAGGAGTAGCGCATTGTGTCAAGTTACACCTGAAGGATCCACAAATCCGTACCAAGATGACTGTCGGGCCTATGCAGAGATCCAATTCCCGCTGCTTGTTGATGTTTCGACTGCATTGATGTCACGTTGCCTGGTGGTTTATTTCACAGGCACACACTTATGAACTCAACTGTGCCAGGTTATTCAAATTAACCCAAACATGCATGCCGTGGGGTAATTGAATGGTTCTTTCATTGCAGACAGATTGTTCATTTTTTCTAAGTTACAAATGCAAATAAAAGTACAAATCAGGTAGAGCAAAAGCAAGTTTCAAAACCCTACAGCCATACACTATGCCTGACGGTGTGGATTGTAAAACAAACTTTTTAGGGTATATCTTTTTTGTTACATGTCGCATGGATGAGATAAGGAGGGCAATTTTGCAAGTAATATCATTGCTTGTCGAGTTGTCTAAATGTGCACGCCTGATTTGTGTACTTTGTTTTGAGTGGACATTTGGCCCTTTTTCCTCCATTGCATGTTGATGAAAATCAATTTTTTTGGACTTCACTGCAACATTCCGATATATTATACGACTACCACTATTAGTGTACATGAGGCTAACTTTCAAATTAATAATAGGTCAACTAAACTATAGTTTCGTGTTCTTGCTTTTGTCCACTGCATTTTAGGAATGGGGCCTGGCAAATCTAGGCAGAGTAATGGAGCAGCAGGAAATCCTTTGTGGCAGATGGGAGTGGTGGTTATAATAGGAAATGGCCAAAAAAGTAATCCATATTGCAGGGATGGATCGGTATCACTGATCAGCATTGAATGTCGATTTCTAAACCAATGAACGGGTCATTTTTTGTTCGACCTGTCTAAAATGATGCGCACGCGTCTTCATCAGGTGCCTGTCCATGACTGACTTGGCACTGTGTTTATATTTAAGTAGCAGTAGACCTAAGACTGCCTTGCCATTGTTTACATACTCGGCTTATGAAAAAGGAGGCTTCCTTTGAATATTATACTTCCAGATGTTACGTTCAAAGTGGCTGTGAGCTCAAAATGATAAGTTATTTTGTGACAAGTGTTTATGATAAAAATGTAAGCTACTGTATATTGTTCGGTGGCATTTTAAAACCACAAAATAACTAAAGTGAGTAGTTTTCTATAAATATGTATTTAAAAATATATATTTTTCAGTTAGTATGCATTGCCTTAATGTCACAAAACTGATCAACTTTGATGTGGAATATAGAGCTCTTCTGAAATTTAGCTTCCGGAGCACAAGTTAATTCCCTGTTCGTCTTCTTTTGGTGTTTGGTTTGGGGTGATAATCGATTATTATCATCGAACAGTGTTTTACTTTGTCATTTTTACAGCCCTTTGTAAAGACACAACTGGGTGATGGCCTCCCGTGTCTGGCCATGGGGTTGGTTGACCAAATTTCACACTGCACAAGGCTGAGATAATCACTCACCAGGTTCATAGTGCAGTACACAAACCACTTATCCCGCTACTTTGTTACAGTGAATACAAATTAAAAAAACGTGGTTCAATGATTGTTGGTCTTGGGTGTGATCACATGTAGAGAATGTTGGTTTGCTTTTAAAGCTCCTGTACTGTTACACAACTACCCATGAGGTCGCTCGAATCGCTTCACGGTTATAAAGTTTTGCCTGCTCTTCATTGTGCATCTTACAACAGCTATAGATTGGTGCAAACAATATATTTTTTTCAAATATAGACGAGCTATAATTTGGAAGTTATCACAATTTTCCAGCGTATGAATACAATAAATCCAATTTTGCCGGTTCCCTTTGCACTAAATTTATGGTTTTGCATATTTGTGAGAATACCGTTTGTAACGGGTGTTTTCTTACAAACGGCACGATGCATTAATTCATTCAAGATTACACTGTGATGGTTTTTACAAGCTTAGAATTATATTCTTGGTTCTTTCGGTAAAGTCAGGTAGAAGGGAAACAATAAAATAATACAAATATAAAACAATAAAATTATCACGACGTTTCGACTGCAACACAAGCAATCATCATCAGGTGTGAAAACCACAGCAAGAAAATTTGAAAAAAAATATTGCTGTGGTTTTCACACCTGATGATGATTGCTTGTGTTGCAGTCGAAACGTGATAATTTTATTGTTTTATATTTTTATTATTTAAATGTTTCCCTTCTACGTGACTTTACCGAAAGAACCAAGAATATGAATCCCTGCAATCACGAAAGCTTTAAATCAAAATTTAAGCTTAGACTTGTAAATGTTTAGTTACTTTTCTGTTTTACGACACTGAAAGTAAAGGCATTGCATGTTCTTTCACCTGATGAAGGCTACTTGTGTTGTGGCCGAAACGTCGTGAGAATTATTTTATTTTATTATTTTATTCTCATTCTACGTGACTTTACCGAAAGAACCAAAGAAGAGCATTGCATGTAGTCTATGGTAGTATGGATTCCTTAGAGCGAATGATATTCAGCGACACTTAGTAAATGGTTATTCATGGTAAAACTGAGACCTCTAAGGGACGCCAGAATACGGGGTTTTTTGTGTTAAAACGCATAAATGTGTCAAACCCCCCACCACGTAAATAGAACATGCCAATTCGTTACTAGTACAGCACACCGGTGTGTTGGAGATCAAAGCCACAACATTTACATTCTGAGTACGACGTTTCGCCAGTAATTACAACATTAAGAAAAAATAAAAGCTGTTGCTTTTCACAATGCCATACGAAAGAAGAAGCCAACTAGTTTAACGGTGATATTTCTATTATAATGGCGTGGGCGAGTCTCTATTTAGGGGACAACCACTTGATTTCCCCGCAAAGTGGTAGCAATTCTATCGACCCCGAAGGGGTGATGGGCTGAGTCAACCCCCCAGTCAGTATTCGAACTCGCAACTTGTTCGAATGTCGCCCGCACTTCCGCTTAGCCGTCTGACCGGTTAATGCAGTACAGTACTGTACTCGATAACATTTTATGGGATTTGAAGGGACACCTGTCATGCGGGATAAGCTGAAGTCTATACGAGGGGTATCCATACGTTTTAAAAATGGAACATTAACAAATGCAAGCACTTTCTGTAGCTGACGAGAAAACCCACCAGCCACACAAGTACGTGCAGGCTGGCAACATTGGACAATGAAACTGCGTTGGTATAAGGGGGGGGGGGGGGGGGGGTGGAACGGATTGTTATTGTTCATTCCTGAAAACGAATGTTATTTATGCGGTCACCCATTAATTATCGCGAGGTTGCATTTCAACTGCTATGCCCCCCCCCCCCCACACCATATCTCACTGACCATTAGGTGAAGTATGGTCAAAGAACCCGCCACTGCTTGCAAGGCCTGTGAATAAAGGTTAGAATAAGGCAACATCTACGCCTCTATTTAAGGAGCGAAACAGGTGGACTTCTCCACAAATCTGTCGACCTGATGAAGCTAGTTGTAATTACTGGCGAAACGCCAAACTCAAGATTGTAAATGTTGTGGCTTGTTCTGTACTCGTAACGAATTGGCCACGTTCTGTTTACGTGACAATCCTTACTAATTGGCTGTGTCGGGTGGTGGCGGGTTTAACGACACATTTATATATTGACGCAATATCACCCAAACAAAAAACCCCTGTATTGTATTCAACCGGAACACAAGCCTTCCCCCATGTGGACATCATCCACACGGGGGCAGCGTAGGACCACAACTCACCACGTCCGTCACCACCAATATTCCGCTCCCGATGATGATGTGTGGCCATACAACCACACCACCAACTGTTAGGATTAGGGCCCCCAAAAATAAATACATTTAAACGATCGCGCGAATGTTGCAATAGATATATACTTTTATTCCTGTTTATCATCGCGTAACCACAATGTGTGTTTTTTTACATCGTAAGCTGTACAGTCACGCACCGACATATGCACATAGAAGGCAGAATAATTGTGTTTTGACGGCTGAGCGACAATTGGCGCCACATGTGGAATGAATCGCTTATAAAGCACACTTAAAATTGGTGGTTATAACCATTACACGAACGCGTTTTAACGTTTACTGCACAACAAATTGGTAACCATACGTCAGATGTCATTCCCCCCCCCACGACCCACAGCTCATTTAAACGGCTTCAGGTGTGTGATTGAATGCACGTGGGTTCATGCAGAGCGATGGGAGTTGAACGCGTGGGTTTGTGTCTGGAGTCTAAAAATATCGCTCTTTTCTCTCCTTACACTGACATAGCTTCGGATCGTTTAAGTAAGGCCACGCGCACGGGTGGACTTTGGCGAGAATAAAATAAAAAGATGGTCATGACCACCACTCGCGTGCTTTTAAATGTGCCTCGCAGAGTAACTCTGAGCATGGGCAACACTGCCGTGTTGAATGCTTATACGTTGTATTCGCAGTGTTCCCTTTACACGGATTGTTAAGCTGCCTGCCATTTGATTAACTGCAAAGTCCACCACTTACCAGCTAGTGGAGTGCTCACACCATCACATACAGTAGTTACATATTCCTAAACGAACTACTAATTCTAGTACATCCCAATGCCACTGAACCAACATGTTAAACCAATAACCAACAACACGAACCACATTAAACCTTACAGGTATGCATTTTAACAGTGACATTACAATTTATAGTCCATAGGTAGCATATACATTTACTCGGAACGTATGCCACTGCTTCCGTTATGACAAACAAAATTCAAATCTTTGGTTGTATCCCGTATCAATACATGCTTAAGTGCCAATTGCAAAAGTGTGACGTGCTGCACATTTTTCATTTTTGAAGCAAGTGGCTCTCAGCAGCAGCACAAACGCTGTTCATTAGGATTGTCACGTTTTTTCCCCCTTTATATTGCTTTGCTGGAGCACACTAATTACCGTCTTCGCAACTCAAGGGATATTTTAGAATTCACAATTCTGCAAAGCCTCAATGCATGTGCATGACATTTAAAATTATTTTGTGCAGGCCACATTTGCAATTTGGCCAGTGGCAAGAGACTCGACATTGAACTGAGATTCAAATGTGAAGAGGCAAATGGCTTCAGGCACGGAACTCCCACGGAGTGTCAAGCCCATTGAGTGCACGGTGTTGTGTGTAATTTGTACCACCTTGTTGAATAGATATTTAAGGGACAATGAGCGGTGTACATTCAAAGCAGGTTTCGGTGTCTAATAGTTGCCATACATTAAGCAGTTACATGGACGTTTAATAATGCAAAAGTTCCTCGACACAAAAATACATTACCCTCTTTCCTAGCAATTCTGCAAAACATTTCCCGACTGTACTATACAGTGCAATTGTTTGGTATATCAATTATTAATATTCACTGTGGATCTCTACTAACGCTGTGTCATTTACAAAGCACACGACGACCAGCAGCCCAACCACACGAAAAATAAAATGTACAAACTTCGTCCACGAACATGGATGAAGGCATTGGAAACTTAAAAGTGCATCTGCAAAAAACGCTTGCAATTCTGAGGAGGCGTCCATTGAAACAACCCTCGCTGCAAACGAGTGGCATATAGCGAACCTTCATCTTAACCCTGTCCCACGGTACAACGGGCGTTGTGAAAATCAGGCTTTTTTTATAGCTGAACGTGAAAGTATATATACATATAACGAGCGACATGCAGCACGTTGGGGTGTTGCAGTTGTTGAAATGGTTCATCTGAGAAAAAAGCGTGAAAATCTGTAAAGGATGCACTTTAAAAAGTGTATGCCAAAGTAAACGCTGATCTCAATGACGCTAGGTTCACTGGCACTTTACCCATTCATGCTCAACAATCTGTAATGCAAAGTTTGATTCTCACACAGCAAACAATTTACACTATAACTAAAGCATGAACCCAACTCCACAAAAACACGTAAAACTATTTCCAAAAATTAACCTGAATGCCACTTCAATTCGGTAAACAGTCCAAAACGCGTGTTTGATAATGAGGCCAATGTTGAACTCTAATGAAACTCAAGTCGAGTAAGTCGCCAGTATTTAAAGTTGCTTATTAAAAGTGTTTTAAGTGGAAATATGCAAGGATTAAATTATCAAATTAAAATAATATATACCTGTGTAACATTAACATTCAAAACTGTGAGCTCTGCAGTAAGAAAACCAGCAGTGCTTTGCACAATGACATTTCATGTTGCATAATAGGAAAGAGTGGGCAGACTGCACCCTCAATTTATAAACGATTCTCATGGATCCTCTAAAGAAAACGTATCTATAAACAGAGGAATGCAGTCTCATTGGGATTAAGTATTGGTAATACAATGTCTATGACCCCTGCAACATTTTCATGGCATATCTGACTTTATAGAATATTGTGCACATTTTTAATTTGCCAATCACAAGAAATGATACCAAACTTTTGGGCTTGAATAACATTCGGTCAAGTTAATAAATCCTGGACACATCCTATCGGATGTCTGTGTGAATAACAATATACAACTACTGTATGCGTGCATCAAGCAAAATTAATTCAGCATGAGTGGGAAAAACACAATCTTCTCTCTTTAAGACACGTGTCAAAATATGAATCTCC